TCCGCATCTCTGTTGTTCATACAACTCTCTTTGAGGGATTGTGCAAATATTTCAATGGTCTCAACTGTTCTAAGCTTGCTATTGTCAGACCACAGTGTACCTGAAGATGGTCTATTAAGAAAGCTGAAAACATTTGTATGCAGTGTGTAAACGGCTAGAAACAAGTGAGAAAGGTTTTGTCTTAGTTAAATTCTTGTCACAGTTAGTAGTGTGAATTATATATGTATTAAAGTAAGAACAATATCTTTTTTACTTGAACTTCGTTTAGATCCAAGTATGTTTTTGGTAGATCTTGGTTGCTTGCTGTTCTCTTTACTATATGTATTTTCTTATCATAAGGTTGCCATTGAGAACAAATCACACAGGAACACTTTTAGTGGAAAAAGGTCGCTTTATTGATAGGAAAGGATATGCATTTTGGGCTTAATGCCCCTCTTCAGTCCTATTATAACAGATTTATCAGCAAAATTATTACAGTTACAGATTTACTGATTGTATTGAAATATTTAGGATATGCTTACAAAGGTTTATACAGTAAAACATAATTACCTAAGATTATAGTGACAGTTAGAAAAACATGACTCTTGAGAAGACATAGGTGAAAAAAAGAGAAAGAAAGGGGAGCTAAAATTCTTTTAGTTCCACCCTTATACAAATTAGAACAGTATAAAACAGTATAACAACATATACTAGAATAAAAAGGGGGTAAACTTAAATAAAAAGTTAAGTACATAATTAAGAGGTGGAATTTTTATAAAATTAATAAGGGAATACCTGTAGGGTGTGAAATAATTCCAATGAAATGTACAAAAAACATAGACCAGATAGGAGAGGTTAAAAAGATGTGAGTATTTCCTGTATTGTACACTGAATGTTTGGTATGTTGACCTACACAGTGGGATACGATGGAGGGAGATAGTTCTGTACATCTTAATGGGCTTTGCTACTTAGTTAGGAATGGCTGCCAGATGTCATTGATGACTGCACCTGTATTTAGGTTCATTCTGATTGTTACTATCACTAGCAGAGCATTAAAAACCCATATAAAAGAACATATAAGAGCGGTGAAGTATGATCTCATCAATTCAGCAGTCACCGCTCATTGCAACCAAGCTGGCTACGAGATCTCACTCAACAGCATCAAAATTTTTAAAAAAAGAAAAACAATATTATTAAAAGAAAATTTTATGAATACATTGAAATTATTAAAACAAATGAAATATACAACGAATCTATATATAGGTTCATTCTGTATATATTATAATATAAGCCTTTGATTGTGTGTCAGTATATCTAATGGTATGCCTAAAATGCCCACTAGGGGTGCCCTAGCGATGATTTTAAATTAATAATAAATTATTATTATTTGTGACACCAGAATGGCACTGTTGCTTGGCTAGAATGCCTTTCCCGTGGGGGAGAAAGTTAATTAATTAATTAATTGATTGATTACCCTCTCCTGTGGGGGGGCAATCCTTAACCCCTCTCCCATAGGGAATAAATTTCCTTTCTCATGGGGAGGGGATTCCCCCAGGGAATGGGAAAACATTTCCCATTGATATGAATTTATTATTATTTACAGTAAATTAAAATATATTAAACGGAATTTATTATTAAATGAATATAACAAATAATGAAAAGGAATACTGTAGATTGTCACACTAATTTAAATTATGTAGATGCCCAGAAGGTAATATTTGTAAAAATAATTTGTAAAGAATGCCCTCTAGAGGGCATCCCAGGCTACTAGTCCTAAATATTTCAATACAATCGGTATATCTGTAACTCTGTAATAAATTTGCTGATAAATTTGTTATAATAGGAGTGAAGAGGGGCATTAAGCTTGAAATTCTTTCATATCAATAAATTAACCTTTTTCTTCACTAAAAATGTTTGTGTCAACAGCAACCTTATGCTAAGAAAATACATGTCTTTGGCAGTTTGTTTTTAGGTTGTTTCGGGAAAAATTTATCAACTTTTTCAAGTGTTTTAGTCTGTTTTTGAGTTTTGAACCAAAGAGATCTAAGAATTAATTATATTTATAATAATAAATTATGGAATTTTTATTTTGTACAAAGTAAAAAGTAAAAGTTGACATTTTTACTTTACAAAACAAAAACCAAAACATTCTCATTCAACTTCTTTAATGGTAAGGCACAATTTATTCTGTTGTAGCTTACATAAACTAAGCTGAATTTTTGTGAAAATTCTACAGGTTTTTCCTTTTTTCCTTTTTCTTTATTGCAGTAAACAGCATGGCACAAAAACATAAAAAATAAACATTTTAGCAGTATGAGATACCCTTAACCTTATTAAAAACATCACTCTTCGCGGTGCATTTGGAACAACCAATGCTTAATAAAACAAATTGTTTCGATAGCACAATTTGCCAACTAATCCTATAAACTTGCCTTAGATGTTTAGGAAGTTATCAGTAATTACAGACATATGTTAAAAAAAATTTGTATAGGTTATATTTGAGTTGCATTTTGACCAGCACCATTCTATTTAAGGTTTAAATTTTGAAATTTTCTAAATGTTCGATTATTTTATCAATTTTTTTTTAGTTTGCTGCTGTTCTATGGATATGGAGTGATTTTAACCAAAAATGTATTTTTATTTTTAAAGTTTAGTGACATATAGAACTTAAAACTTAAATATAAATTTTAGTTTATCAAATTTAAAATCAAGAATAATTTTAAGTAATTATGGAAGATGTGACCATATTTAGAATTAATTTTGATGTTGTTAAATTAACAGATCGACCCATCTCTCATTGGAGGAATGGTGGTCAGCATCGGAGATAAATACATCGACATGTCGATGGCCACAAAGATTAAAAACTATACGAATCTAATCAAGCAGAGCGTCTAGAATTTCCAAAAAATTAAAATGTAATTTCTGCGTCGCTGCTTCGTAGTAAGTGACAAATGTGATTTAGACTTGGAAGGATTGTATTTACTGTGTTTAAAAGGAAAAATAAAGTCGAATAGTAGTAGCGTTTAATAAGGTTTAACTTTCGTGTCTTTGAAATTCATCGAAAAGGGTTTGTATGACATCACTTCTGGAGTGAATTGTTTATCCAAATTCTACAATTATTACAATACTCAACCACATACTAAAGTTTATTTAGTATTAGAACCTCTTGAGTGGTTTGACCTAAATATATTGTGTTCTCCCTCACTATTTAGCTGAGCCTATTGAATTTAGCCAAATCCACGATGGGTCATCTTAGAGCTCAAATTAAGTAACACAAAAGTCACCCTGCAAATGTACCTTATTTTAAATATGAAAGACTAAATTGTAGAAAACAATAATCGAGAGTTTCTCTGTTTAGCTAATTCAATATGGTGTTAGATCTTTCTTAGAAAGACTACGGTTTGACATAAAGTAGTAGCTACCAAGCATATCAAAACGACTCCATGACATTTAAAATCGTCATTGTATGTACTGTACGTACATCATGCTTGTCTCGTNGTATATGTGTTAATGTATATAAATTGTCAATTTTTTGAGAAAAATAGAAGAAAAAAATCAGTATTAAAAACATTTGGCAAGAGCTTTGCCTTATTTTCAATGTTAGGTAGTGCATGCTCGTTTGTTTGTTTTGTTAAATGCTAAGTTTTTCCATTGACTTAACATGAATGAGAGATATCAGGGTAGACCTTTTGACTACCTTGATATCTCTCATTCAAGGTTAAATTTTAAAATTTTGCCCTGCCAAGACACACCATTTTATTACTTCTATAAATGTGTAAAATTTTGTTCAAGTTGGTCGAGTCATTACCTTGCAAAATGTGTTTTGGTGACTTGTTGGTTTAAGTTGCTGACAAGGAAGCTTGCTTGATATAATTTTATGTTAATAATCAAATAATACAGTTAGACTAATTAGCCATATTATAGTCCAGTAAGAATCTGGCTATACTATTTGATTATTAATTAATAGCTACTTTCCTCTGAAATTTCTCCTCTAAATTTCTTTGCCCTCCAATTTTGTGTATTCTCTGCATTTATACGAAAGGAATATTGTTCCCTTTGTACATGTATTAGCATTTGTGTGTAATGAAAATTTTTTCTGCTTAAAAGTATTTGAATGTGCTGTTTGCATATGAATAATTGCAGTTTAAAATTAATAGGAGTTTAAATATATTTACAGCAATTGCTCACTAAGGATGTCAAATTAGCAGAATTTATCTCTAATCCTCTCATTAAGAAGTTTATCAAACGGGGTAAGTTTTTTTTCTTTTATTATTAAAATTTCCTTTGGTAAGTTGTGGAATAAATGATCTTTCAATGATTTATGTAGATCAACTAACAGATGCTTTGAAAAAACAGAATTTCAGCAATTTGACTATTAATTTTATCTGTAAGTATACAAAAATATTTTATTATTTTTCCTAAATGCTGTATATCAAGGTTCCTCCCTCTGTGCATAATTGCAGTGTATGCAAAACAATATATATAGTTGAATAATTAGTTACATTAAACTCAATGTACTGTACATCAAATATCTCCATATCTGATGTATATTATCTTTCTTTCCCTGCAGGCATTAAGAGGGCCTTTTTACTTCCGGCTGTTATGTACATAAGGAATTTATTGGAATTGTGTCAAATTTGACCCTCTAAGGTTTTTTGCAAATCTCCTTGTTTTGAGACCTTCCGAATCCAAAAATGGCAAAAAAAAATTCTGCGCATATGTGTGTGTTGGTGTCTATTTCACTTAATATCTCAGGATGGGGAAAAGATTAAGAAATGAAATTTGGCCAGGTGGCTTGTATATAGTGACATTGATGCTATTAAATTTTGGCAGTGAAAGGTCGAGAGGGTGGGGAGATAGATAGGGTAATGTATCTTGAGAAAAGTAGGACTTAATGCAGATTGTACTTGTAATTAACATTTACACTTTTTTTTAAAATTCATCCCTACCCTTAAAATTCAGCTTTTTGCCATTTTATAGTAATCAAAAATATAAAAGTTATTTTCTAAATAAGATCTCATAACAGCTGGGAAAGTTATGCAACTCTTTGTTAGATTTTTAATCATGCCCATTGTGGGTTTAGTCAGATCCATGATGGGTGAATGGGTGGTAAACTTAATTTTGTTTGTATTTATTATAAAAATTTTTCTTAATATCTTTTAATTCATTTTCTCTTAATCTAATTTCATTTATTTTTTAATTTTAGTAATTAAAATTCTCTTAATAAATTTTAAAAAATAAATAATGCATAAAATTTACTGTATACTTTGTTGTTGCAGCCGTCTTGGCAGAAAATGCCAGACTTCGTAACTTGAAAGGTGTACTAGACACCTTTGCCAATATAATGAGTGCATATCGGGGAGAACTACTCTGCGAAGTGATTACGGCAAAGGCAAGTTTTGAGAATTTTTTTTCTAGCCAATTGGATTTATCATTTAAAATGTGTTTAAGAGAATTTTTTTAATGTATAAATTCATTTTGCAGCGTTTGGAAGATGCACAATTAAAGGAATTGGAAACAGCATTACAAGGATTTTTGAAAAAGGGTGAAAAGATCATTCTTAACACAAAGGTTTTTATTTTTGTGTTAATTTAGTTTAATATGCATTTAATATATTTTTATGAATTTTCTAAAAAATTTTGATTTTTAATTTTATTGTCAATTTGTTATTTGGTGAACTCAGATCAAGAGGGAACCAAGTCCAGCTTTTGATGTTAGAGCCTTGGACACATTCTCAAAAAGTCTGCATTCTAAGTTGAATTTGTTGTTACATCCTAGGCCCAGAAAGAGAAACAAAAAAGAAAATATGCGAAATAGTGTGTAAAAGTTTTCATTATCCCAAAATTAGAATTTAATGACATGGATCATTCTCACTCTCATTATTTAAAGATACATCATCATGATTTTTCAGTTCTAAATAAAATTCACACACTTACGCTTTACATTTAATGTTTTTGGAATCGGAATATGCCGTTACATTTGATGTCAAATTGGAAAATTTCTTCTGACAAAGAGCAAGTTGTTGCATAGTAGTCATTATCTGTATGCAAATTAATTATACCATATGCATTGGTAATTGTATAGCTGTTGGAATCCAAATTTTTAGTCAAATTTATTTGTTTAAAACATCTTCGAAAAGATTACATTATGGTGCAAAACTGAAACAAAAGTATATTTTCTGTTGTTGCAGATTGAGGATGCAGAAAAGTTTATTATTGATCTTACAATTGATGGTGTTTTCAAATCAAAGATACATAGTAATGGAATTCTTCGAGAGCCAAAGATTAGAAATACTTAAAAATGTATTGATAGTTCTGGCGACTTTGACATTTACCATTACAAATTTGCCATAACAAGAACCGACCTCAATTTGTGTGGGAAATTCTTGTCACTTCTATGCATTTGGAGCTAGAACTATTTAAAATGACTAAGACAAAACTTTTCTCACTTGTTTCTAGCCATTTACACACTGCGTACAAATGTTTTTGGCCTTCTTAATAGCCTTCTTCAGGTACACTGTGGTCTGTTAGAACATCAGTTGGTAGATATTCAAACGGTGTCAGTGTTTACATAGGTTTCGTCTTACCAGTGATGTCATCATTGATGATAAGGTTTAGAAGAAACTAAGGGCATTAAATTTTCTTTTGATATAAAATATAAGGTGTGCTGACAGTACTTGATGGGATAATTGCTAAAGTTGGGGAAAATAAAATTGGAAAATGAACGCGCTAAGTAAAGAAGATGCACTAGAGACAGTAACAGGCTTGCCTGCCTAGATAGGGGGTTACCAGGGAGTGACATCATAGTTGATAATGGAGTATAGACGATTTGAATGTCATTAATTAACCTATGATACAATAAGAAAAGATGTGCAAATGACTATAGATGGGAAAGGTGCTATACTTGGAAAGCAGAATTGGAAAATAAATGCGACAAGTAAAAAAAACGCGTTGCAAGAGGTTTGGTGAGGGTGGGTTGGTCTATTTAGGTTAAGGGGTTATCAAAGAGTGATTTCCATGTGGAGGAGAGCGAATCCGCATCTCTGTTGTTCATACAACTCTCTTTGAGGGATTGTGCAAATATTTCAATGGTCTCAACTGTTCTAAGCTTGCTATTGTCAGACCACAGTGTACCTGAAGATGGTCTATTAAGAAAGCTGAAAACATTTGTATGCAGTGTGTAAACGGCTAGAAACAAGTGAGAAAGGTTTTGTCTTAGTTAAATTCTTGTCACAGTTAGTAGTGTGAATTATATATGTATTAAAGTAAGAACAATATCTTTTTTACTTGAACTTCGTTTAGATCCAAGTATGTTTTTGGTAGATTTTGGTTGCTTGCTGTTCTCTTTACTATATGTATTTTCTTATCATAAGGTTGCCATTGAGAACAAATCGCACAGGAACACTTTTAGTGGAAAAAGGTCGGTTTATTGATAGGAAAGGATATGCATTTTGGACTTAATGCCCCTCTTCAGTCCTATTATAACAGATTTATCAGCAAAATTATTACAGTTACAGATTTACCGATTGTATTGAAATATTTAGGATATGCTTACAAAGGTTTATACAGTAAAACATAATTACCTAAGATTATAGTGACAGTTAGAAAAACATGACTCTTGAGAAGACATAGGTGAAAAAAAGAGAAAGAAAGGGGAGCTAAAATTCTTTTAGTTCCACCCTTATACACATTAGAACAGTATAACAACATATACTAGAATAAAAAGGGGGTAAACTTAAATAAAAAGTTAAGTACATAATTAAGAGGTGGAATTTTTATAAAATTAATAAGGGAATACCTGTAGGGTGTGAAATAATTCCAATGAAATGTACAAAAAACATAGACCAGATAGGAGAGGTTAAAAAGATGTGAGTATTTCCTGTATTGTACACTGAATGTTTGGTATGTTGACCTACACAGTGGGATACGATGGAGGGAGATAGTTCTGTACATCTTAATGGGCTTTGCTACTTAGTTAGGAATGGCTGCCAGATGTCATTGATGACTGCACCTGTATTTAGGTTCATTCTGATTGTTACTATCACTAGCAGAGCATTAAAAACCCATATAAAAGAACATATAAGAGCGGTGAAGTATGATCTCATCAATTCAGCAGTCACCGCTCATTGCAACCAAGCTGGCTACGAGATCTCACTCAACAGCATCAAAATTTTTAAAAAAAGAAAAACAATATTATTAAAAGAAAATTTTATGAATACATTGAAATTATTAAAACAAATGAAATATACAACGAATCTATATATAGGTTCATTCTGTATATATTATAATATAAGCCTTTGATTGTGTGTCAGTATATCTAATGGTATGCCTAAAATGCCCACTAGGGGTGCCCTAGCGATGATTTTAAATTAATAATAAATTATTATTATTTGTGACACCAGAATGGCACTGTTGCTTGGCTAGAATGCCTTTCCCGTGGGGAGAGAGTTAATTAATTAATTGATTGATTACCCTCTCCTGTGGGGGGCAATCCTTAACCCCTCTCCCATAGGGAATAAATTTCCCTTCTCATGGGGAGGGGATTCCCCCAGGAAAGGGGAAAAACATTTCCCATTGATATGAATTTATTATTATTTACAGTAAATTAAAATATATTAAACGGAATTTATTATTAAACGAATATAACAAATAATGAAAAAAGGAACACTGTAGTTTTGGTTTGAAAAAAGGAATATTGTAGTTTTGGTTGAATAATGAAAAGGAATACTGTAGATTGTCACACTAATTTAAATTATGTGGACGCCCAGAAGGTAATATTTTAAAAAATAATTTGTAAAGAACGCCCTCTAGAGGGCATCCCAGGCTACTAGTCCTAAATATTTCAATACAATCGGTATATCTGTAACTCTGTAATAAATTTGCTGATAAATTTGTTATAATAGGACTGAAGGGGAGCATTAAGCCTGAAATTCTTTCATATTAATAAATTAACCTTTTTTTTCACTAAAAATGTTTGTGTGATTTGTCGTCAACAGCAACCTTATGCTAAGAAAATACATGTCTTTGGCAGTTTTTTTAGGTTGTTTCGAGAAAAATTTATCAACTTTTTCAAGTGTTTTAGTCTGTTTTTGAGTTTTGAACCAAAGAGATCTAAGAATTGATTTTATTTATAATAAATTAAATTATGGAATTTTTATTTTGTACAAAGTAAAAAGTAAAAGTTGACATTTTTACTTCACAAAACAAAAACCAAAACATTCTCATTCAACTTCTTTAATGGTAAGCCACAATTTATTCTGTTGTAGCTTACATAAACTAAGCTGAATTGTTGTGAAAATTCTACAGGTTTTTCCTTTTTTCCTTTTTCTTTATTGCAGTAAACAGCATGGCACAAAAACATAAAAAGTAAACATTTTAGCAGTATGAGATACCCTTAACCTTATTAAAAACATCACTCTTTGCAGTGCATTTGGAACAACCAATGCTTAATAAAACAAATTGTTTCGATAGCACAATTTGCCAACTAATCCTATAAACTTGCCTTAGATGTTTAGGAAGTTATCAGTAATTACAGACATATGTTAAAAAAAATTTGTATAGGTTACATTTGAGTTGCATTTTGACCAGCACCATTCTAGTTAAGGTTTAAATTTTGAAATTTTCTAAATGTTCGATTTCAGTCGACCCCTATAGGATCATAGATACGTTCCATTCTTTAGGAATCTGATTTCTTACGAGTCCTTCCAATCACAGCCCGACATGTATGAAGTTTACGGACTACGGCTGATTGAAAGGTTTTCTTCCATAAAATTAATCGATTCTAGACTAATCCGACTCAACATTTCCAAAATACGTATATTTTTTTGGAAATAATCTGTATAAACTACACTATAAACAAAAAAATTGTAGGATTACTTACCGAGTGTGCACCATTCAACATTGCCATTGCTCAGGCTTGTTTTCGTCGCGGAACAGTTCAGCAAACAGCGGCCGATTTCTAATAACTTATTTTTCTGCGAAAACTTCGTTGAACTTTGGAGACATCATTAATATAAATAATTTTAATCGCCGTTGAATAAGAAATGTTTCTTTCACAA